CTTTGTTTATATAGAACTCACGTTGAAAATCCAACGTACTATCTGCCGTTAGCCAATCACAGGCCTGAATCAATTCGATTTCCCCAGAGCTATGCCTAGCCTTAACCTGCGAACGGGCGTGCTAGGGGAACAAGATTGTACTTTTTTGCTGTTTTATGCCCACTTATGAAAATTGGAAAAGTCGCTAAAAATGGACGAAAAGTAAAGGGTATAGCCTTACTTTTTTGCCCACTTATGAAAAATGAAAAGTCGCTAAAAATGGACGAAGGCTATAGCCTTACTTTTTTGCCCACTTATGAAAAATGGAAAAAGTCGCCAAAAATGGACGAAAAGTTAAGGCTATATAGCCTTACTTTTTTGCTGTTTTATGCCCACTTATGAAAAATGGAAAAAGTCGCTAAAAATGGACGAAAAGTAAAGGGTATAGCCTTACTTTTTTGCTGTTTTTCGACCACTTGTGAAAAATGGAAATATAGCCTTACTTTTTTGCCGTTTTTCACGTTTGAAATGTTTTTCAGGTCCATGTTTTTATAGCCTTACTTTTTTGCTGTTTTTCGACCACTTGTGAAAAATGGAAATATAGCCTTACTTTTTTGCCGTTTTTCACGTTTCTTACTTTTTTGCTGTTTTTCGACCACTTGTGAAAAATGGAAATATAGCCTTACTTTTTTGCCGTTTTAACATGTTCCCACTTATGAAAAATGAAAAAAGTCGCCAAAAATGGACGAAAAGTAAAGGGTATAGCCTTACCTTTTTTCTCCTTTTTGTCTCTTTACGGAAAATGAAAAATGTCGTAAAAATTGCTTTTTGCTGTTGTTTGTCCTTTTTAATTGCTTTTTTGCTGTTTTTGTCCCTTTACGAAAAAAAGTCGTTAAAATCGACGAAAACTTAAGGCAATAACCTTACTTATTTGCTGTTTTCTGCCCAGTTATGAAAAAGTCGTCTTATCTGTTTCAAGCATTGTAGTTGTTCGTTTTAAAGTTTGTTCTTCCGTTGAAGTGATTTCTTCAATTTCTTTCTTTTTTTTTACTTATTTGCTGTTTTCTGCCCAGTTATGAAAAAGTCGTCTTATCTGTTTCAAGCATTGTAGTTGTTCGTTTTAAAGTTTGTTCTTCCGTTGAAGTGATTTCTTCAATTTCTTTCTTTTTTTTTGTAAAAGCTAGCGATGAAAAATTGTCAATCAAAATAGCCTTGCTTTTTTGTTGCTTTACGTCAAAATGGACAAAAAGTAAACATTGAGACACCTTTTCTCATCAAAACAATCACTTTCAATTGATAAAAACACGTTTTAAAACATTTTGCAAAGCGGGCAACCACAGGCAAGTGGCAATCTGTGCTCAACAAAGGGAGAGCACAGGAATTTTTTAAATAAAAAAGGCCCGGAACTATTATTCCAAACTTTCTGAAAATTGTCGATAAGCATTTATTTCTCTCATCAAAACAATTACTTTCAACTGATAAAAAATGCTCATTGACATAGGGCTTTGCATTTATTGGCTTAGATTGGATGAATTCCCCAAGGGATAACATATTATTCAGAATTTAAAATTTTCATGCCACATTGCCTGGAAGGCGTTTTATAAACTAACCTTATTTAAATGATTCAAGACAGCGACTGTAGATGATTCTGTTTGGTATAATCTTTCTTTTCCTGTCATGTAATCCGGTTCAACATTGAGGACTGCTCACTGATCCAAATTCTCTTGGAACAAAATATCTAAACAATGAAAGATATTAATCTAGTTATTTGCACATATCAACTGACAACATATCTTATCTAACTGATACCAGACGAAGGATGCAACAGAAAAATTCATATTTTTGTTTTTAAAAATGGGAGTACCACAGGAATTTTTTAAAAATTGATAAAGATCCCCCAACTCACAAAACTTTCTTTCTCTCATCAAAACAATCACCTTCGACTTAGAAAAACTTGTTTAAAAAACTTTGGGTCAAGTGCAAAGGGGGGATCATAGGCAACCAAAGAAAATTCACACTTTTGTGTTTAACCCATTAAGCGCCAGCACTCTCCCCTTGATGAGTAAAATCGTCTGGCGTTAGACAGAGTAAAATAACAAAGCAGGGCGCATCTGGGCACAATCGGGCGCATCGAGCACTTCTATCATGAGCCCCTGGCTCGAGTGATTGGGCAACCACACTCCGTGTTAACATTAAAGTGCCTATGACACGAAATTTCACCCCAAATGTTTATGATTGCATTGTAAAGATCACTTAAAATGACTTAATAATTTCTTTTATAGAATTTTGATAACTTGCTTCCTTTTCAAGATATTCAACTTTTTTTCTTATGCAAATATCACCGGTGTGACATCACATCGCATAATGACATTTTGAAAACGCAATATTTTACCTTGATAAAATATTTTTACAAACAAATACAGAGGGTTAATTACCAGTTATGAAATTAATACATATACAAGGGCAATTTTGAAGTATTTTAGATACGTATTCGTCAAGAAAACTATACTTTTCTGAAAACTCATTGTGTGATGTGATGTCACACCGGTGATATTTGCATATGAAACAAAGTTGAATATCTTGAAAATGGAGCAAGTTACCAAAATTCTATAAAAGAAATTATTAAGTCATTTTAAGTGATCTTTACAATGCAACCATAAACCTTTGGGGTGAAATTTCGTGTCATAGGCACTTTAAATAAATTATTCTTCTATTCTATGCGACTCAATGGGTTATATACACCCATGGGCAGATAGGCCAGTTAACCATTAAGCGCCAGCGCTCTCCCCTTGACAAGTAAAATCTTCTGGCGTTAGACAGAGTAAAGCAGAGAGCATCTGGGCACAATGAGACTCGATGGGTTAAAAATGAGAGTACCACAGGAAATTTTCTAAAAATTCATAAAGATCCCCCAACTCACAAAACTTTCTTTCTCTCATCAAAACGATCACCTTCGACTTAGAAAAACTTGTTTCAAAAACTTTGGGTCAAATGCAAAGGGGGGATCATAGGCAACCCTACGGTCAACAAATGGCGATCACAGGAAAAATTCAAGAGGCCCAACTCACACCAAACTTTCTGAAAATTGTCGAGAAACATTTCTCTGATCAAAACGATCACTTCCGACTCATAAAAACATGTTTTGAAAAATTTGGGTCAAATGCAAGGAGGGGAACACAGGCAACCCCAGGATCAACAAAGGGCCCGGGGGGACAACTGGAAATTTTCCCAAAACTACCCCAAGCCATTCCAAACTTTGGGTCAAATGCAAAGGGGGGATCACAGGCCTTAATGAAAAAAGTTGTTAAAATCGATGAAAAGTAAAGGCTATAATAGCCTTATTTTTTGTCGTTTTTCCCCTCTCTCCTCCACAGAGGCTTACATGAAGTTTTTAGGGAGGGAAAAGTGAGCGTGCAAGGAGTGATGGGAAGAGCTAAATAAAGGAAGCCTTTGCAAGTTAATGCAACCAATATGGCATCCAACCCTGGCTGCGGCTGGTCACGTGCCTCATCAAAAATTTAGCGCCTGAGGGGGTGTGGGGAAAGTATCAAATTACATAAACATGCTTCCAGTGGAACATTCGTTAAAAACATAATAGCCCGTAAGGGCAGAATGGCATGTTAGGGGCAGATTGGCCTGTTAGGGGCAGAACAGCCTGTAAGGGACAAATGGCCTGTTAGGGGCACAATGGCCGTAAGGGCAGAATCGCCTGTAAGGCAGAATTGCCTGTAAGGGTAGAATCACCTGTAAATGCAAAATTGCCTGTTAGGGCAGAATGGCCTGTGTAGGGCAAATGGCGTGTTAGGGGCACAATAGCCGGTAAGGGCAGAATGGCCTGTTAGGGGCACAATGGCCGTAAGGGCAGAATCGCCTGTAAGGCAGAATTGCCTGTAAGGGTAGAATCACCTGTAAATGCAAAATTGCCTGTTAGGGCAGAATGGCCTGTGTAGGGCAAATGGCGTGTTAGGGGCACAATAGCCGCATTAATGGCCTTTTAGGGGCACAGTATCCTTTTAGGGGCACGATATCCTGTTAGGGGCACAATATCCTGTAAGGGCAATTTGCCTGTTTGAGGCACAATAGCTTGTTCAGGATTGCCTGTCAAGGAAACAATACGTATTAGAATTACAGTGGTGCAACACTTGGAAGGACTAAATGACAGTTGTTATCACATACATGGTGTATGTGCAGGTGAAGCAGCAGCCGCTTTGGGTGTGCCAATCCTGTTTCACTAACATGGGGAGTGACAGCCTAGGACAGATGCTGTGAAGAGAGATTATACTCTTTGTTATTAGTAACAAAAACTGTTAAGATAAGAACACTTAATTAAAAGGCTTCTCCCAAAGCCTCTTGAACACTCTATGCGTTTTTTGCCTTGCGTGTGCAGCATCCCTCAGCTGTGTGTGAGAAGTGTTATTTTCTGCTGGCTGAGGAACGAAAGAGGCAGAAAATGTTTTTCTCCTTCTCCGACTGATACTCACAATACTGGTGCAGTTCGCGGCGCGCGACGGCTTGGAACCCACGATTTTAATTAATTCATACGCATGCGTACTGACATCCTCTTCTTTCGTGGGCAAGCTTCGGTTTGTTTAACTCACTAAATTCGCTTCAAAATCCTTCAAAAAAGTCATCCATCCGGAACTAATTTCTCTATTTTATGCAAGAATGACCTCTGAAAAGGTAAGTGCTGAATATCGCAAGCTGTATTTATATTTTAAAAAGTTTTAGATCGAATAATTTAGGGTACTATGGTTATACGTCGCCTGATGGAATATTTTGATTATTTCGATGGAATATTTTGAGTATATCTCCTGCAGGTACCCATCTCGCAGGTAGATAAATGCATTATTCGTCTAGAGTACCCGCTCGACGAATACGTATGGAAAATTCGATAGTATATAATAGTATATACTTTACACAAATATTTGACCTATTATCCATACAATGTTTTAAAATGACCTGGTTTCCTGCAGGTACCCATCTCGCAGGAACCAGACAATATGCTCATTGAGGGTACCCGCTCTGATGATGCATCAGCGACACCTATTCCAGTGTCAAGAGATCAACTAAGTTCTCTGATCGAGGACAAAGTCACTGAGACATTAAGAAGGACTCTACCAGACATTTTAAGAAATGCTTTTATGACACCAGAGCCTAATTGTTCCCAGGAAAATATCGCTGTGGAACAACCACAACCTAAAAGAGCCAAAGTAGTCGATAGTGACACACCACCAGCTTTTGTCGGTTCTAGTCGTTCCGACAAGTACTATGCACCAGCACCAGAAGCTACCACTTCTGAAGAATTAACTTCATTTATCAAATCTGCATTTACCAAGCAACTGTCCAAAGAAGTTTGGACAAATGTCATGGAGCAATACCCTGACATTAAAGGAACAGCTGATTTCCTAGTTTCGCCCATAATGCAAACAGGGATGAAAGAGGACATCAAACGTGTCCATGGTCTGTCCCGAACAAAAGATTTGTTCACATTTGATGAAGGACTAGCTGACAAACAAGCACCCTTCATTTCCGTTGTTCGACCACTTGTCAGTGCTCTACAAGCATTGGAGCCGACGGAAGTGGATGTAGACGAGGTTGAGCCCTCAGGTCCTGATCCTGACCACATAAAAGCTCTTATCGAAGATGCTATTGTGCTACTGGGAAATGCACATTGTCGTCGAAACATTTGGCGCCAAAAACGTTTTGCAGAATACCTAACGGATGTGGGTAAGCGTACCCTGAAAGACCAAATTCCAGCTGACAAGTACCTGTTCCCCGAGCAATTTCATAATGTAATTAAAGAGGAACACGATCATGCAAATACCAATCGCAAATTAGTGGCACAATCAACCAAACCTCAAAGGTTTTTCTCCCCCAGAGGGCGTTTTCAAACCAACAAGTCCTTTCGTGACCAGCCCTTTCGTGACCAATCCTTCCAGCGATCTAGTTTTACCCGACCGCAACATAACAACTCATTCAGAAAGAATCCAAACAACAACAAACCCTATTGGGGAAAACGTGGAAACCACACAAAACGCAGCTGACTATCAGCTACCGACACTAAAAGACATCAAACCAACGGACAATCTTGTAGCAGGCCGCATCAAACAATTTTATTCAAACTGGACACTAATTACATCAACTCCCTGGATTCTATCCATAGTTCAAGGGTACAAAATTCCCTTTGTTCGTCAACCCATACAGTGGAGACAGAGACAAACAAAAGCAAAGTCGAAAAAGGACTTGGCCTCTATAAAAGAAGCCATATTACAACTCCAAGCGAAAGGTGCAGTAAAAGCTGTACAGGAGGAGTCAAATCAATTCACTTCAACACTGTTCATAGTGAAACAAGTGTCCAAGGACAGGCCAATTTTCAATTTAAAGAATCTCAATCGCTTTGTCCAATCCCAGAAGTTCAAGATGGAAGGTCTGGAAGCAGTACGCAAACTGATCCAACCAGGAGACTTCATGATGAAGTTAGATCTCCAACACGCCTATTTTTCCGTACCGATGCACAACAGTCACAAGAAATATCTGAGGTTTGTATTCCAAGGAATAACATACGAGTTCCAATGCCTACCATTCGGGCTATCCAGTGCGCCCTAGCCTGCGAGCAGGCTCTCTGGGGAAAGAGAGCCTGCAAGGATCCCTATGATGATTCGGTGCATGCGTCCAATATTTGGACGCAGTGCTCTGATTGGTTGATAACTGATTCATATGAAGTGATTGACAAGCTTCCGTAAACTTGCACTTCCCGTTTGTAAAACCGAGCAACGCAAAGCTTCGGAATTGCGGCAATGTAGAGATAAAAGTGTCATGTATTTTGATCCTGGTTGACTTTTTACTGTAAATTAATATAGTATTCATATAAAGACGAATACTAAAAGCTTGCATGCTTTATTTCCCAGAGAGCCTGCTCGCAGGCTAAGTGCGCCCAGGACATTTACAAAACTATTGAAACCGGTCATAGTATTGCTACGAACACAAGGAATACGGACTGTAATATATCTGGACGATATGCTTATTCTGGACCAAAGCCCAGAAAGACTGTCGTCAATTTTTTGGAGTGTTGTCAATCTACTGCAACGTCTGGGATTTCTCATCAAACAGGAGAAATGCTCCCAAGCCCCATCCCAGTGTCTAGAGTTTCTGGGATCCTTGATCAACTCGAGGGAGATGACACAAGCAGTACCCAACGACAAACTCCAAAAGCTCCAAATAGAGTGCAAGAATGCAATCAAGAATCGCTGGCTGACGCTGAAAGAACTCTCGGCTTTATTAGGCAGAATGAACCATTGCTCCCAAGTGGGTCTAACCCAGGGACCTTTGCATTATCGTGCTCTACAGAGGCAACATATCAACAGCATTCACCAGAGCAAACGTCTCTCGAACAAGACAAAGGTCTATCTGACAGGAGAATCACTAACCGACCTCCAATGGTGGATATCGATGCAGATACATCAGTTCAACAAGTGTTTAATCTCACTACCAGCGTTCGACCTGATCATTTACACAGATGCGTCCAATCAAGGATGGGGAGCACAGTGCAACGGAATCATGACAGGGGGACGATGGAACATCCAAGAATCCAGACAACACATCGACATTCTCGAAATGAAAGCAGCCCTTCTGGCCATCCAGTCCTTTCTAACAACACAGGTAAAAATGCCGCAACATATTGGTCTGCAGATGGACAACTCTACAGCAGTTGCATATGTCAACAAGAGAGGGGGAACCAGGTCTTCGACTTTAGCAGCCTTAGCAGTCGAGATTTGGAACGTTTGTCAACAGAAAGGAATATGGATAACAGCACAACACCTTCCAGGAGTACAGAATGTCGATGCGGACTGGGCTTGTCGTCACTTCAACGAACGCACAGAGTGGACTCTGGACAAGGCGATCTTCGCACGTATAGTCACAAAGTATTACACTCCACAAGTCGACTTGTTTGCATCTCGGCTCAATCATCAACTACCCCTCTATGTTTCCCGGCACCCAGACCCGGGTGCAATGGAGGTCGATGCAATGACATTGCAATGGAACAGATGGACATCGTTCATTCATGCGCCAATTGTAATGCTTCCCCGCATTCTGAAGAGATACGAGAAGATCAGGCAACCTGTCTACTCATTGCCCCGAACTGGCCGGGCCAGACATGGTATCCGCTACTATTGGAGATGTTGGTCAACATCCCGTCCCTTCTTCCAATGACGGAAACGAGTATGTATCTACCCTTCGACCGGGAAGCGCAACACCCTCTGTGGAAAACAATGAAGCTGGCGGTATGGCCACTTTCAGGGAACGTTGTCGAGCAGGAGGTCTTCCACCGCAAGTTTGTGACATCCTTATGGCCTCCTGGAGAGAAGGAACGAAAAAGAGATACGAAGGTCCTTGGCGACTTTGGACTAGCTGGTGTGTCTCACGGAATCAATGTCCATTTTCAGCCACTGTAGCAGAGGTTTTACAGTTTTTGACTGAACAGTTTCATACTCGAAAGCTTTCATACCGAACGGTCGGTGTTTACAAATCATGCATATCTCAACTACATGATCCAATAGATGGACAACCACTGGGAACTCTTCCGCTCTTATCGCGTTTTATGAAAGGTGTCTTTGAACTTCGTCCACCAACACCCAAGATATGCGTAACCTGGTCAGGTGAGACATTATTAAAAATCATTTAAAGAATATGGAACCAAACGAGAACCTCTCACTTAAAGAGTTGACTCTTAAAACAACCATCCTGTTGGCGCTTACGTCTTCAGCCAGGGCTCACGAACTCGCAGCATTGCACTTGGATTATGTATCCCAAAAGGAGAACGGTTGGGAGTTTGTAATACCTAAACATGTAAAGAATTCTCGGCCGAATCACCCAGCACGAAAGATTTATCTTCCATCCTTACCAGAAAACCAAAAGATTTGTGTTATTGAGAGTCTGAAACAGTACGTTAATCGAACTGCTCGTATTCGCAAGGACCAGCAACTACTGGTGTCATATACCTCACCACACTCGGCTATTGGAAGTCAGACTGTATCACGCTGGATACGCACTGTATTGTCCAATGCAGGTATTGATGCTCAGTACACGGGTCATTCTACGCGGGCTGCCGCAACATCAATGGCTGCCGAGAGCGGTGTTCCTCTTGAGGATATCATAGCTGCTGCTGACTGGTCTTCTGCAACAACGTTCGAGAGATTTTACCACAAGGCTATCTCAAAGGATAAGTTTGTTAAAAGTATTTTGGCCCCGGACATACAAAAATGACATTACTGTTTGCATTCCAAGATACATTAGTTAACGACTTTTGGAAATGTGTTGTTGACATTGTTTTGTATTCATTTCAAAAAAAATAATTATGTTTACATTGATTAACAGTTGTCTTTGAAATCTGCACCAGTATTGTGAGTATCAGTCGGAGAAGGAGAAATAGTATTTCCTCGGAAGGTACTTACCTGAAGGGGAGATATGGTTCTCCGAACTCCTTCGAAGACTGATACGAGCAATACAGGTCCCCGTACCAGTGGTGGTAGATACCTATACCACCCCACCCTAGTCTGTTAATCAACATTCAGCTTGCCACTCAATCAGAGGATGTCAGTACGCATGCGTATGAATTAATTAAAATCGTGGGTTCCAAGCCGTCGCGCGCCGCGAACTGCACCAGTATTGCTCGTATCAGTCTTCGAAGGAGTTCGGAGAACCATATCTCCCCTTCAGGTAATAGGCCGTATTCTGTGGGCAAATATCTTTCAGTTCCGCTGCCATCGGTCTCCATCTAATTTTAATTTATATAAATCTATAGATTTTGACACACTAAGTATGAATTTCAATGTTGTCACTCGCACAAACCTGCAGTTTTTGAGTATATTGCCACCAAAGTTTATTATCTTTCACGGCTTCGAAACAAGATGGCCGCCATTTTTGTCCTGGGTACTTCGTGTAATATATGGTGAACGGTACTAGTTCAAGTCTTTTCCTGTACACTTCGAGCATTATATTTTTATTTTACATGAAGTACAAGGTAGAAGAAATGTACTTACAGTTCTTACAAAACTTGCATTGCCAAGCATGGCCTCTTATTGTTTGATTCATTTCGATGGAGAAAGTGGACAGCTTGCACGCTATACAGAGTATGCATACAAACGGGTTTTAGAATGTAGAGAGATTTGGAAGACATTGGATGGAAAGCAAAGAGAGGTAGCAGAGAATACAGCATGCTTTGACGATAACGAATGGCAAAATCCAGCAGCTGGTTACCACAGAGGATGTTATTCGAAGTTCACAAACAAAACGTCAATAGAAAGAGCCATAACTCGGTGCGGGAAGGCACAGCTGGTACCACAAGATGATTTAAAACTTTTAGATGACGAGGCAACTGAAACCTGTGGTAAGTAGGTATTATTATTATCATTGTCATTGTCATTATATTATTACAAAACTATTATTAAACAAAGTTTCCTTATTATTATTATTACCACAAGATGATTTAAAACTTTTAGATGACGAGGCAACTGAAACCTGTGGTAAGTAGGTATTATTATTATCATTGTCATTGTCATTATATTATTACAAAACTATTATTAATTATTATTATTATTATTATTATTATTATTATTATTCTAATGAACATTTAAAGTAACTATTTCTATAAATAAGTAGCAATTTTTGTATATAAAATTATAACCATGCATGTATAAGTGATTCAAGTAGTCAATTGTAGGTTACCTCAAGAAGTGAGATTTACAATTGTATATATCTATAAATGTTCTATTAATAAAGTTTTCATTATTATTATTAATACTTACATAATGTTATGATTGAGCTCTTTTTTAATTTAGAAACGACCCACGCATCCGAACCGTCAAAGAAATTATTGCGATCAGCAGTAAACGCATCAAGCAAAACAAAATCAAAATATGTGCTGGCTCCTGTGTGCATCATTTGTAAGAAAGAAAAGTCTTTTGTGACTGACACGGTAAGTAAACGTATTTACTGATAAGCATGGTAATTAAGGATAATGACGTTGGTGACGATGATTTTTCCCTTTTTGGTAGAACTCTCGAAAACGAAAGGAAGATCAGTTGGTGAGTGCAGAAACCATTGACGGGGGAAGATTGAGAGAAGCAGCTACAAGAAAAGGGGACGAAAGTATCCTTTTACAAATTGCTGACAAGGACTGCGTGGCATTAGAAGTGAAGTACCACAGACAGTGTTATCAACGATACACAGAATTTGTAAGACGCCCCGATATAACAGAAGACGATGATGTTCGTGCTAAGTGCAAATACGAGGAATCCTTTAACGTTTTTTGTGAACGGTTTGTGAAAGAAAAATTAATTGACAACGAGGAGATTTACTACATGAAGAAAATTGAAGCGGAATTTGTCAGAACTGTTGCGACGGTTGAGAACTGTGATGCATCGGGTTATAGGAGATTTCGCTTGAAGGAGAGGTTGATAGAAAGATTTCCCCAGCTGGTTTTTCATACACCGTATGAACGCAACAGAAGTGCGATCGTCTATGCTCAAACTATCTGTCAAGGTGTCGTGGCGGAACATTACTTAGATGAAGAAAGTCAAACGTCGCAAAGTGAGATGGAGAGTGAAGATGAAGTCTTGGATGACACGTTGTTAAAGAACCACGAAAACGTGGCTACACTGAAAGAGGTTTATAACGTTGCGTGTACATTGCGAAACACCTTGCGTTCTAGTACACAAACCTGGTATGAGAATTGGCCGCCACTTTCATCCGACATCACTGGAGAAAGCGTTAGGAAGTTAGTTACGCCACTCCTTTTTAATTTCGTTGCATGGCTCCTTGGATTTTCAGAAGACCCACAAGCGTCGGAGTATGTTGAAGTTAACGAAAAGCAAGCCGTGAAGATCTTTTCTATATGCCAGGATCTGATTAACGTTTCAAGCAAGGGGAAAATCCAGACGCCCAAGTCGCTAGCATTAGCAATGACTGTTCGACAAATTACCGGCTGTTCAAGTCTTATTAATATTTTAAATGGTCTTGGACATTGCATTTCTCTGTCTTCGACAATGGCCTACGATTCTGCGCTTGCACAGTTAACCATAAATACGTCGAATGTTATCCCAAGGAACTTTGTGGCAGAAGAGTATGTTAACCTTGTGTATGACAATATCGATTTTGGCGAAGAGATCGCAAAGCAAACACATGTCACAAATGGGATTATTATCCAAAAGATGACCGTAAAGATCGACAATGGTTTACCACATTCCACTGTCATCAAGAAGTCGCAACGAACTGTGGAAGTGCCTAACTGTGCCATCGCGGAATACAGCCTTGGAACAAAAAAGACGCCAACCTTCCATGAAATCCAGCAGGACGCCCAGCCTATGTCCATTGCATTGAGAGACGGTGCAGGAAGAACAGCCTACAAGCTCGATTTGGCTTATGTCCTCAGCAAAATGGTTTGTGCCACTGACGAAACACCACTACCGGGATGGACTGGCTTCAACACCATGCTTCATGAAGAAATACCTGATGTACAAAGCGTGGGTTACCTTCCAGTTATTAATGCATCGCCTACTGAATATTCCACCATTAAAGAAATTCTTCAACGAAGCAAGAGCATCGCAGAAAAACTGAAGTTGAAGTACGCTGTATTGGTTTTTGACGAGGCTGTATATTCAAAAATCCAACACGTTCGATGGAAAGAACGCGAATATTATGACAAGTTCGTCGTACGGCTTGGTGAATTCCACACCATCATGTCTTTCCTGTCTGCATTGTCGAAGATTTTTGAAGACGGAGGACTTAAGGTATTACTTCCCCATGTTTTCTTTCTAATACAATTTCAATCAATTTTTCGAATTTGCTATTAGTTAACTTAAAGAAATGGAAACTAACTTTTTCCAACTGGGGGTACTTAAAATAAAATACCACATTGTGTTATTTTTTCTATAAATACCACTAATTAGTTCCGATGTCAGCATTGCTGTTTCTTGAACTTTTACAGACGTTAAAGAAATTGTTTGGCAAGGAAAATTAACTGAAATTGTATTAAAAGGAAAAATTACTTGTTCTCAAAGAATTAATGAAAAATGACACTTGTGTTTAGCAAAATATTGATAATATCGCTCGTGTTTAACACGCGTGCGATTTTTCATTAATTCCTCTCGAATCGTGTTATTTCCTGGACAGTGTCATAATAGTAAAATAAAAACTTTATTTGCAGGATTTGTTTATCGAGTCTGGGGTTGTAAGCGAAGGGTCCATCAAAGGTGTTCTCAGTGGAAAGCATTACAACAGATCCATCTTTTGTCATAAAATTGTTTACGAAGCTATGCAACGTCTGCGCTTTGAAGCATTTCTGGAGTACCTTACAGATGGCGAAAAAGAAGACAGAATCATGGATCTCGTCAGTGATATATCCGATGCCTTTCCTGACAAAACTTTTCACTCCCTTGTCGAATGTCCGGTGTTCGAAGAAATCACCAACGAGTACGAAAGGTTCATCATTGACGCATCCTCAAAGTCACGTACATTTGCTTTTTGGACCATGTATATCAAAATGACCGGTGAGTTCAACCAATATAACTACTCTGTTTTTATATTTACCATTGTAATTGTGTGTTCTCGTAGGGCAAACGATTGTTCTACACGCGCGTAGTAGAGATTTGGGAACTTTAGCAACGAGTACGACGAGATTCCTGCATTGTATGGTCCGCGCTGACATGATAAACTCGTAGTAGCTTCCCATTTCAGCGGATTTTCATGCCATGCCATGCATACAATGAGGATCTCATAACTGTACTTCTTCTAAAGTTCGCAAGTACACAGGGCATACAAACAGGCAATAAGCCCTTTCTAAACGTCCTAATTTTATTATTTATTTAATATTTAGGGATTTTATTGATGTTCATAAGAGGAACCAGAGTGATTGATTGGGATCTTCACTTAGCAGCATTCCGAGCCATGATACCTTGGTTCTTTGCGTGTGACCGTACCAATTATGCAAGGTATGGGTCGGCATACTGGTTGGAGATGACAGCGTTGGATCAAACACATCCAGGTTCGATTTTATTGGTTGTTTTTCCAGTTGGTCATTTTTCGGTCTTATTGTATATACTTTTCTTTTTGATAATTACATAATATTCCACATTGTCCTTATTTCAATAGGAATCCTACCGGAAATTTCGTCAAAGTTTGCTGTGCAGCGACAGAACAACCATGGTTTCTCAGCTGTAGCCTGTGACCAAACAATCGAACAAACTGCAAACCGAGACTCAAAGACAAAAGGTGGTCTGATTGGGTTTTCCATGAATCCAGGAACCGTACACAGATGGCTGTTGTCACAGTCGGAAAGAGCAGCGATTACGAGAAAATGTAATTACATGGCAGGAATGGAATGTAAACCAAGGTAAAAAGAAGTTAAACTGTTCATTCATGCATATTATATACAATCTAAGAATAATTTGGTAAAACAAACTTTTCTATTTGTAATACTGAAATTTGCATTTTAAGGTCATGTACCTATATTTTCCTTTCTTCGATGTTCATGTTACAGACAACGTAAAGATCTTGATGAATCCAAGTGCAGACGTTATGATAAATGCGTACAAGACGTAGTGGCAACCGTTGCCCAAATGGCCAACCCCTTTGATGTCGAACAGGAGGAGCTGATAAGCTTGGCAAGCGGAGAAGTGCTCGAAACAACTGCTGCAGATCGACTTCTAAACGCAGAGCAACTGGGTGAGGAGCAATTTTTGAAGTTTATGGAAGACAATTTGTTTTCTGAGGAGCCAAACATCTTTGCTAAATTGGAAAGGAACAAGCTTCACACGTTCACGTCCGGGAAGAAAAATGCTGTTAAAGATTGCAAAGGCAAAGAAACCAGCATTAAATTGAACAGAAATTTTTTTGCTCGGCTTTTAGTCATTTCCAAAAATCGCGAAATTGATCTGAAAGAGGTACTCTCCTACAGTCTTGGCTCTTTCCCATTGTCACTTGCCACACCAACAGGAGGTCTTGTTAAAACGGCGAAGTCTAAGCTGCTTGAAATCGTTGAAAGTGAAGCTGGAAACCCTGAAGTTGATATCCATAGCTATCAGAACAACGCCCTTATAGTTGACGCAATGGCTATTCTCCAAATTATAAAGGGTAAGTTATATTATACAAAGCGAGGTTTTGTTGCGTAAAATTGAAGCAAGAAAGTCTCGACTGCTAAAACATACGCGCGGTCACTTTATGGACATGAACATTCTACCTCAACCCGCACATTTACATTTTACTTTTCAAAAAAGGCCATCTTGTGATAGGGTATTAAATACGGCTTCTGTTCAAACTATTATAACGTGAAAGTACAGTTTATTTTTCTTCTTGATATTATGAAAAAGGAATGAAACCACAATTTGGATAGGAACGCCACTAATATGAGAAAACATCAAAATGAATGTCCAATTTATTGTACAATCCTTTGACTTTTGTCTTTGTTTAATATTAAAGGTAAATGGAAAACCTTTGGCGAATTGTCTAATTCGATCTTTCAAATGCTTATCGCACTTGCACAACAATATAATGCTTCAAGGTTAGATTTCGTGGCAGACCGCTACCCAGTATTGAGCATTAAGAAAGCTGAAAGAAGCAGAAGGGCTGAGAAAGGTGTGCAAAGAATTCATATATTTGGTAAGGAGCAGACAGTTCCAAAGCAATGGAAAAAATTTATGAGCTGTGGGGAAAACAAAGAATCACTGTTGGCGTTCTTAAGTGAACACTGGAGGACATATAAAACTTCCCAATTGCAAAGCATTTCCAACTTGTACATCACGTCGAAAGAAAAATGTCATGTTATTTCTCCGGGTGCATCAACTGACGAGGCTGTTGTATGTTTCGAGTGTGTTGAGCTGGAAAGCAATCACGAAGAGGCCGATACCCGTTTGCTGCTGCATGCCAAACATGCCATGGATACGTGTGGTTCAATGATCATTAAGAGTCCGGATACCGATGTTTTCATCCTTTGCATCGCAATGCAACCAATGCTGGGCCCAAAGAACCTGTTCTTCACGACTGGTACAGGGAAGAAATTTCGCACCATACATATCAACGCCGTTGTCCACGCTTTAGGTGAAGAATTTTGCCGTTGTTTGCCTGGCTTTCATGCTTATTCAGGTAAAAATAAAAGCAACTCTTTAAATATAAGGCAATTCAGTTATATAAATGCTACTCAGTGTAAGTAAAATTCCTAACTCATCCATACACGTAAATTGTCAATTATGTTAATAATTGTCAATTACGTTAAGTTTATATACGTTAAATTTATTTTTTTCTGGGACTGTCGTGTGGATTTTGTTTATTGGAATTTTATTTATATGTTGTACACTTTTAAGAAGTGATTGCACAAGTTCCTTTTACGGAAAAGGAAAAACTACAGCATGGAAAACGCTAATAAGCCATCCACAATTCATTGAGACCTTTTCCTTGCTTGGTAGCAGTTTCCCCCCTTCTGACGAACTTGTTAGTGCGCTGAATACGTTTACGTGTCTTTTATACGGGGATTCGAGCTCCACGGATGTAGATGAATGCAGGTACGCCCTATTTAAAGCTGGTAAATGTTCAGACGAAGTTTTGCCACCAACGCGCGACAGCCTTCTAAAACACGTCGAGCGTGCAAATTATCAGTCAGGTGTATGGTATCGGTGTCTAACTGCCCAAATGGTCATCCCTTCCCCAATTGGAAATGGCTGGATGCTTTCACATGAAGGAATAGAAATCCAATGGATGACCCGTCCTCCAGCACCAGATTCTTTGCTGGAATGTACCACTTGCAAGTGCAAAACGGGGTGCCAAAATATGCGATGTTCATGTCAGAAAGGTGGATTAAAGTGCACGGAGTTGTGTTCTTGCGTTGGCTGTCAGAATGGTGACGTTGATGAAGATGAAGAGAATAGCCAAAATGAGTCCGATAATGATGAAGTTTCTGATGACGGCGATCTTGAAGACATAGATGACCTTTGAAGTTAAATTAAGTCCTTGATACACTGGGAAAAGTTTCTGAAACAGGTTTCTGAAACAAACGTTTCTTTGGGAAACCGAAATTTTTACTTCGGAAACTTGTGTCGGGGTTAGAGCCATTTCAAGCCACGTGACCATGAAAATTTCAGGCATTGGATTTCATGGTAAAAGATGGCCGCACGAAAAGAGTTTTGGAATTTGGAAAAACCGAGCGATTCATCGCATTATTTTATTGAACAAAATGGCTTTTTAACATACATAATCAAATACCTGCAAGGAAATACTTCCTGAGTAAATTATTTAAAATGTGTATGCCCATTTGTTTCGGAAACGCCTGTTTCAGAAACTTTTTTGGGGAACTTTTCCTAGTGTATCAAGGCCGGTCTTTATTCTTATTATAGTTTTGAGATGTCTTTTGAGTGAAGGTGATATATTGCAAAACCTTTTTTTCTATTTAGCTTCTCAACACATGTGGGGAATCTTTTTAAGGTGGGGTAGCCAATTGAAACCTAGATACACATACCTCTAGGAACGTTTATAGGGAGCCACCTTAAATGCTACTCTTGGCCGCAGAGGCCTTTCATAAAAGGTTAACTAAGTTAATTCATTTATTTCTACTTTCATTTTTTAACATCAATTTACGGAATGATAAAACAAACGCATATGATGGCTAATCACGATAACCCTCCGTTCGACCGCGTGAAAATAGCTTAAGTAGGGTCTGGAACTAGTACCGTTCATCATATATTACACGAAGTACCCAGGACAAAAATGGCGGCCATCCATCCTAAATAATGAACTTTGGTGGCAATATACTCAAAAACTGCAGGTTTGTGCGAGTGACAACATTGAAATTCATACTTAGCGTGTCAAAATCTATAGATTTATATAAATTAAAATTAGATGGAGACCGATGGCAGCGGAAATATTTTTCTAGGCGACTTTTGAGGCCAGAGAATACGGCCTATAAGTACCTTCCGAGGAAATACTATTTCTCACACACTGCTGGGGGATTGGGTCAAGGGTGGGGTCAAGGTCATCAGAGTCACTTTTTTGCTTGCCTCGTGCTAGCCTGACCTGTGTCCCACCCACCCATCCTATTGGCAGGTAGTGTCTGGTTATTATGCAGTTGCAGTAGTGTGCTAACTAGAATTGGGTTTAGTCCAACACGTGATAATTAGTGAGTTGCAGTTTGTACGGATCCGTTTATTGTAAATATGAGATATTTTTGTTGATTAAAGGTCAGGCTGCCTTGCGTGTGCAGCATCCCTCGGCTGTGTGTGAGAAATATTATTAGTTTTTTGGGTGATTCTCACGTGTGGTCACCGATTACTCCCAGAATTCAAGAATAATCACATTGCTGAATTACTGGTGCATGAAGTGGTGCCATGGTACCATATGGAAAAAATTGGGTGTCATAAACGAAATTTCAAATTTGGACACCCAAGTTGCAAATCCTGGCTAAGACCCTGTCAAGAAATATCAGCTGTGGACAGAATTTTTTTAGTATCCCTCGGGGTACTGTGCTTGTGATTTTCCAGCATCCAAATAAATCTGGTATCGCCAGGATACCGCGAATTTAAAGCCCTGTTCAGAATATATAATTTTCATGCCACATTGCCTGGAAGGCGTTTTATAAACTAACCTTCTTTACAAATTACAAGATTCAAGACAGCAACTGTAAATGATTCTGTTTCGTAGAAAATAATCTTTTTTTTCCTGTCATATCACCCGGTTCAACTTTGATGACTGATCACTGATCCAAGTTCTCTTGGAACAAAACACCTAAACAATGAGAGATTTTAATTAATCTAGTTATTTGCAGATATCAACTGACAACATATATAGCAGACAAAGGGTGCAACAGAAAGGGTACCACAGGAAATTTTTTAAAAATTCATAAAGAGCCCCCAACTCACAAAACTTTCCTTCTCTCATCAAAATGATCACTTTCGACTAATAATCATGAATCATGATAACAGACAGTCGTAGCACTGCCATATGATACAAATTTTTATGTCATGATTTTTGTATTTATGCTCTAATTGTGATGTTTGTTACTTTAATGCTGATTTTTGAAATTTCTCAAGCTTTACTCTTGATATCTTGCTTTTTCTTAAACATTTCCTGTGAGATTAAAAAAATTCCTGGCAGCATGCTGCCAGACTTTCTCATGCCTTCAGCCATGGAATGGAAGAAGACATGCACATGGATAATTTATTTATTTATTAACTTCAGCTGTCAACAGAAATATAAACATATGCAAACAGGAAGACGGTTCAGGAACACTAACACAGCGTGAGCCAATTACGTTAGTGACCTGTTACAAAACATCATTACACAAAACTTCACAACTTATAATTTAAATATCATGCAAACAAGAATATAGGCTAGTATAATCCTTTTTATCCGAAGTAGAGAGAGAGAGCGTAAAAAATTTCAAAATTTGAAAAAACAAAATGACAAAATTGTCAAACAGAATAAATGCAAGAATATATATAGATTCTGTATATATTCTAATATATATGTTATATTATTATTATTCTGTATATATTTTTATATTTTATATATTCTCTATGTATTCTGTACCAGTGTGCATTCCATGCACTCCACGCTGGATATATCCACCGTGAGGTTACAAAAGTGTTGGTGTAATGGCATGAGATCACTCGAAAACAAGTGATTAGGGGTCACGTCCATATTCATATTGCCACGCATAACGTCGAATCGACGTTATGAGTGGGTGGGTGGGTTTATCTTAATTCTCTCGACGTTATCTCGATAATCTCGTGGCAAAACGATAATTTTGTGAAAGTTTTGAAGAATGTGACTGCCACGCTCGACGTTATTTAGGGTGGGTGGGTGGCTTCGAGTGTTAACGTCGATTCAACGTTATGCGTGGCAACTTGAATATGGACGTGACCCCTAATAGTTTGTGCCAGTTGACAGTATAACTACACAAATACGATGTTGACATGCAATACGTATTAAAAACACACCATATTAGCTATTTCAAAACTTGGTCCCCAAAATTGAAAATCTCCAATGTATTGGAGTAAAGGATCTTACATGGAATGCACCCTGGATTCTGTATTTATTTCTATAATTGTTGTACAACAAGGCTCAAATTAAGCTTAATTTATGCATAATGAGCTGACTTGGAGATAGCCTGCGTGGCAGGCCCTCAAATTTATGGGGGGGCCTGATTTGCAGCGGGCAGGATTTTGGCGGGCTCCAGGGGAGGATTAAGGGCCTGCAGGAAAGCCCACCTTTCATGACTATACCATGCCTGAAATAGGACAACGCTTTTCATTTTTTTCTCTTATTCCTAGGAGCAAAAAGTACTAAAATTTTTGAATGTTTAATCCATTTTATGTTGCTTGCTGCAATTTTTAAATGTTTACACTAGTTGCACAATTATTCTTTTGGGTCACTTGCTGCTTTCAGCTAAGTTAGTATAAACGAGTTAAAGGGAATAAGAGTCTAATGATATTATAATGATATTCGGGTTACTCGATAATATAAGATACTTGAAGTCTTGAAATTTGAGAATAATATAACCGGAAACACTGCAGGGCGACGACCACTACATTCATTAGTCCCCCTTACTCCTAGGAATAAGCACAAAAGTTAAAATTTCTTGTCCTATATTAGGAATCATATGTTCATGACTACACACCGTCACAGAAGAAGTATATACAGAGAGTTCACTCAAGCCAAAACAAGTCACACGCACGATCGGCCATACTGCGCATGCGTAACTTCCCAGCCAGTGCCGTGAAATTTTTTTATAAGGAAATAGATGGGGAAATCCGAATTTTTGTCATAAAAACAGCAATTTTAACGAACTATCCAGGTGACATGCTGTTTCGTTTTAATTTCAAGAAAATGGGCTAGACTGGACATTTTTAACTACTTGAACGCTGCGAAAAGGGAAAATACTACTCGAAGGAGTGAAGTTCAAAACTTGTGTTGACAAGTCAAAAAGAGATCATAAAGTTGTTCTACACGATGTTCTATACTCCAGTTGTGTCGTTTTTGCAGCAGAAAAGCTCAGAAGTTGTTCAGAATTGACATTCCAGTATATTTCGTATCGTATAATGTTCAGGTAAGAGCATAATTCACTTTTTTCAACGAGAAAAAACTAGCAAAAAACAAGTCTCGACCAAAATGTCTCAGTCTTTGAGAGTTCGATATGTGTGTTGATCTGATTTAAATTGTGTATTTTGATTGTCAGGATACTAACCCATTAATTACAAACTCAACTTGCCAAGCAGAGAGTCCTGCCACTGAAATATATAGGATATAGGATATCACAATCTGTGGGCAGACCGAGCCTTCAACTTTCAAAATCAAATAAAAGTTTTTCAAAAGCTCAACCGCACTTCTTATGTGAATAGAAAAGATCACTTACTGTTATTGTTGAAAAATTTTGTCCAGATATGAAGCTTGAAAGCCTCTTTTCCCTAAAAATGCCACTTTTTGCATTTCGAACTATGTTTTCCCTATAGTTTTGACTGAAAATGCAGCGACGGTACTGACTGCTGCATATTAAATTTTTTTTAATATTTAATTTGCTTTTGATGGCGTGTAAATGGCGTCAGCTTCGCAAATCCGTGTGACGACCTAAACCGAGTGAACTCTCTTTATATCTTTACTCTTTGACGCTGTTCAGATTCTGAACGGTGAATACGATCACCTGATTGGTCAATACCAAGTCAGTGGAAAACCCTAGCATTTGGAAAACCGTAGTATTTGATTCAGTTTGGTTGAATGGACTAGTGCCAAGGTCAGTGGGTCAGGAATTAACAGTTTACGCTTTCCTGATGTTTCTACATCTTTGGCCCTGGTAATGGTGTTGAAACTTCTCGTGTAGTACTGTAGTGTAAAGCCAACTTTCTCACATATAATCTGAGAGCACAATTCCGAAAGATTTTTTTCTTTTCGATGGTTTTTTGTGATGAAACATTAACAATTTTACTAAAATTGCCAAATTGCTGTTT